AAAAAGAATGCTTAATGCCAAAATTCTCGCCGAAACGGAAATGAATCAACATTCCGGCAAAATATTGGCAACTATCGCATTTCAAATACCGGTACACCTCCAAACACAAACACATATGCAACACCACAAACATATGCAACACCACGAACATACATAGATCTAGCTAGGCCATAAAAAGTGCATGTGCACATTGTTGTAGGGAGAACAACATAAATATAGCTTCCCCCTTACTTACCTAGCAAAACAAGGTAACTTAACCACTTAATTTGAATGAATCTATGGTGGAAATGAGGTGAAAAAGAGGAGGCACCCGAGACAAGGAGGAGGCGGTGGAGAGAATGAAGTGGGGAGAAAGTGAGTGTGGGAGGAGAGGTTGTCCAAAATATCTTGTTGCTGCCCACTTACTAATGGCGCACCAGCAACAAATGCGCCATTAGTAATCCAGGTTACTAATGGCGCACCCCCTGTTGATGCGCCATTAGTAGTTTTGCAAAAAAAGGAATAAAAACAATAATAAAAAAATAACATTAGTGGCGCACCTTCTGGCTGGTGCGCCATTACTAGTTACAACTAGTAATGGCGCACCACCAGTGGATGCGCCATTAGTATGTTTGGACAGGCGCACTAGTTCAAAAAAAAATTGGTACTAATGACGCACCGTGGGCAGGGTGCGCCATTAGTAGTTTCAACACTAATGGCGCATCAGAAGGTGATGCGCCATTAGTATATACTAATGGCGCACCACATGTCTGGTGCGCCATTAATGTCAATTCCATCTATAGCCCTTTTCCTAGTAGTGCAAGGAAGGGGCTTAGATCAATATGGTCCTTCAAGCCCCAATACAATACATCCTAACACGTTTCTGGACTCGCACAAACTGGTCATTGTAAAGAAGCCATACAAGATAATGCTAAGAACAAAAATGTAATTCAAAATGATTTAGATCAGGAAATGAAGCAAATTGCTATGAAGCTAGAGCATTGTTGCTTCATGAACAGTTATTTCATACAATAAAATACATTGATTAACTAGGTTTTTCTGTTCACATTACAGCAGACTAACAGCTTAACCAGATGGTCTACAACAACATTCTCATGGTATTTTTTTAACAGCAAGAATGGTAGGTAGTAAAGCCACTTCAAAATAAATAATACTCCCTCCATCTCAAAATAAGTGTCTCAACTTTGTACTAACTTTGATACAAATTTATACTAAGCTTAAGACACTTATTTTGGAACGGAGGGAGTAGATCGCTTCCTGGTATGATAGCAACAGGGCCATGGTTTCGCAGGCCGAGGCCACCCACTGCTGCTTCCATTTCTTTCCTGAATAACCACACTGCAGTACAAATAAACGTTGCAGATTACAGCATGTGTCTTCTCCCATGTACAGTACATATGACGACTTTAGCGGCTTTATTACGTACTAGAAAGCACCTTGTTTGTTACCAACACTAAACGAAGAGAGTGAAGTTAGTTTTTGTGCGCTATGTTGAGAAGTAGGGACGTTCAGCTCAGTTACCGCCACGGAAGAAAGCGTTG